TAATTTTAATATTATGGGTTATAATTCAAAAACAAGTTTGGTAACTGCAATTTTTTAACATCAAATAGTAATTAGCATGTCAAGCAAGATTTTACTTGCTACCAAAATTAAAAGAAAAAAAAAATTGTGGGAGAGGATTTAGCAGCATTTTCAAAAATTTAAGGTAGGTCTGAATCTACTCCCACAATGTTCTTTTTTAAACTTGGCAAAAGTTGCATTTAAATATGCTACTTGCAATTAATGGGATCATTGGACTCGTTTTTGACTTATAAGCCCACAAAGCTAAATTAAAGGTGATTTTAATGGAATACACTGTTGCTGTGGTAATATTGTGCATCAAGAAAAAGGCCAAAATTTGTTCATCAATGACTAGGCATTTCTTTGATACCATTATTGGAGCATCAGTAAATTTATTAATACAAGAAGGTGAATTGATCCATCAAAGAAGAAATGCTGAAAAATGTGGAAAATGTTGTGAGCGACCTAAATTTTGGTACTGTCTCACACATGATCCATTAACGGAGGACTCAAGCTATTTCCTCTTTCACAAGTGGGCTTTTTAGATCCAAATTGCTTTTGCTTCCTGAAAAAAAGAAAATCTCCCTTTTAATATTTTATCATAAATTCCTCTCTCCAGAAACTATTGACTAAGTCACATAAACAGAGCTTCACAGCAAAGGGAATGGATTTTCCAGACTTCTTTGATAAAGGTGTTGCTACACCAGTTTTAAATTAACTGTCTTATACAATATAACCTTTTCACAACACAAGTTCCTCATGGCATTACTACACATGCAAAAATAATTGTCATCACATCTGTGATCACACTTTGAATGTGTGATAAAAGTGTGATTCCTAGAATCACACTTTTAATCACACTTGTCACGTCTGATTCACACGTAAGAAATGTGATAAGAAGTGTGATTAGCAAAGTGTGATTTTGGATGCTTTGATATATCAGTCACACCTTCCTTCATCACACAAAATAAAAGAAATTCAAGAAGTCGTTAAACAAAGAGAGTGTGATACTATGGGGAAAATGTTTAAAGTACTGTCCTTTTGTATATTTTAAAAAGTAATCCAAATGAAACCTAGATTGTAAAGCCAAGAACACTACAATTAGCATCTACATAAGTAGTGGTTGGGTAATGAAAGATTTAACTGGTTTTGTTTGTCTACTTTCCTGTTTTCTGTCTATTAAAGTACCCACTTCACATGGAATCGTAACCTGCACAAACAGTTTTATTACTAGGTTTATTTCCAATACATTATTAATTGCACTAGCTGAGGAAGTACATCATTTCTCTTACCCTTGCAAAATGAATTACCAGCTTTTGGGAATAATTTCCTAGGAATTCCTAGGAATTCTCAGATATTCCCAGAAATTCCAAACTATGCAGATTAGGCAGAGTTGCATAAGTTTGGAATTCTTGGGAATTGCACTTTACACAAATTTCTATGCTTGGAATTCCTAGGAATTCCTAGGAATGCTCTTGGAATTTCTAGGAATTACAAAGGTTATTGTCTGATCATTGATTCCTACTACAAAAACCTGACAGTGCATTAATATTATTATAAATACCAGCAATGTGGATATTAAGCTAGGCCACAACTTTTGTGTCTTCATCATGACTATCCTTCTCATGAAAAGGTCAATATTTTGCTGCCAGCTCTGTAGTAGTTAAATAGCTTGGGATAACTATGCACTTCTGCAAATGTTCTCTGAATACTTTCCAGCCTTTGGCAGGTCTCTAAATTGTGTAAAGATCTCTAAAAAACCCAAGCTCTTTTGCTGAATTCAAGCACACCCGAAACGAGCCGCCATCTTGGATTTGAATGCCAGTAGACCCTGGGAATGAGTTGCTATAACCAATGATGCAATGCTCTGAGACATGCATGTGATTTCAACAGTCAAACAAAGCTTTACAGCCGGTCATTTTACTAGGCTAAATGATGTTTGAAAGCAACAGAATCTGGATCTTCTGGCTCTAGGAACAACTGTAAGTATAAAGAATCGCATGCCTTCTGGATTAAGACTTTATATAATATTTTTGATGATCAGTATTGCAATGATTCATCACTAAACTCGATCTTGGCAAATGTAAGCAGCCAGTTTCGGATCTCTGTCTTTTTTCTTGTCCATTTCAGCTTTTAATTACTGTGTTACATAACAATCATAACTTAAACCAAAAAATAATTGAAAGCTTGTCATAGAACTAAATTTACATCAAAAGCTCCCATCACCTCGAGATTTCACCAAGAGCATGCTCAATAGTTGCCCCACCCATCACTTTCCTACATCACCAACCAAGTGGGAATCTAAAGCTCACAAATCTTGCAGATATTTTTCATAGCAAGACCCACTGTGAAGGTGAAGCCCAGCATTGCTTTCCTTAATCACTGGCAAATGTCTGCTAAGTGAGAATTTAAGCTCGCAAATCTCACAAACATCTTTCATTGTGAGCCATCGCGCAGCCCAACAAATTTACCAAAGGCAGAAAATAGCCATAAACTTTGGTTGAAAAGCTCCCACCACCTCCAGGTTTCACATATATATAGCGAATGTTCTACAGCCAGCCAACAAATATTACTCATTGCAGCCCATCAAAAACACTTGAAAACAATGAAGCCAAAACTCCCTGAAATCACTTTACTTTGACTTTACTAGTTACGTGACCTAAACGTCTACAACAACATAGAAAAAAAATGTGTGTACCTTAGTGCCAACCGTTTTCCTATGATGTGGGAAAACGGAATTTGAACTTCCAATTTTGTTTCTCGTTTACCCACGCCATCGGAAAAGGGAATTTGAGATTCCATTTTCATTTTCCGTTTTCCTACTACATTGCAAATGGAATTCCAACTTTTATTTTCATTTTTTTGTTTTCCCACAACTTTGGACAATAGAATTCTAATTGTCATTTCCTTTTTTCGTCTTTCGTTTTATAAGATATTGAAAAACGGAATTTGAACTTCGATTTTCATTTCTGTTTCTGTGTTTTTGTCACCTTCTTATGTTACCAGAATCGGAAGAATATTGGCACTTCCTGTCGCTAACTATAGACCTGGAAACCACATCCTTGATGAAGTTTTTGTCTGCTGTTTTCTTACTGAGGAAAATTATAGTTATGAAGACCTTCTCGAGGTAATCAAGAACTGTTACCTGAATCTAAGGGGCTGCACAGTAGTTTGCTAAGGGTAAAAAGGTTTTTCACTTGTCATGGTATCAAGAAGAGAAGGTCAGTTGCAGATGGCAAGTCGATATTTGGTTAGTGTAAAATGAGGACTGCAGACTGGGGCAAAATGCAGACGGAGGGTAAAAATGTAGACTGTAGATGTTTTACCTGGGTGGTGTTACCATTTTCATCATTGAGAGCTAAACGTAAACAGGCAAACCAGAGCGTTATTTAAGCTGAGTGATATTCAGGCAAACTGGAGCATTGCAAACTCTCACTGCGATTAGCCCAAATAACCCTGTTTCTGGTTAGAAATCGATAATGGAAGTAACACTGTCGATATATACTCAAAAAGTCTGTAGTCTGTAGTCTGTGTCTGTAGTCTGTAGTCCGTAGTCCGTAGTCCGTAGTCCGTAGTCTGTAGTCCGTAGTCCGTAGTCTGTAGTCTGCAGTCTGCATTTTATCCCCGGTCTCTTGTCCACCATCTGCGTTTTACTCTGACTGGTCGATATCAAAGTAGGTGCCACATCGGTTCGACTATATGTTCCGAACCAATCATGACACGCCTTTGTACTGAAACTTTTTGACTTTATAATGGGACCTAAATAACCATTTAATTCTGTGATTTGTGATGGTATACACATAATTTCATATCGATGTCATGGTAGTCGTATTAAACAGAAGGCTTTTATTAACAGTCAGCTCGCTCGATACAGTTTATAGTGGGCTGAAAAATTCATAAATATTAGTTTTCTATATATATAGCTGCACCATTTTTTTTAACGCTATTTGTTGAAATCAAAACTCTGTATGTACAGTCAGTGACATCATGTACAGTTAGCTATGACGTCCATTTTGAGGATCATAAGACAGGAAAAAATATATATAAGCCCAAACAGCGCTAGTGTCTGCTTAATAGGCTGCTGTATTAAGATAATATATTAAAACACAAAAATGAAAAACAAAAACGAAGTTCAAATTCTGTTTTTCAATGTCTTACGAAAACAGAAGATGAAAAACGGAAATGACAATTGCAATTCTGTTGCATGAAGTCATGGGAAAAAGAAAAACTGAAAATAAAAGTTTGAATTCCCTTTTTTGATGGCGTGGGTAAATGAAAACGAAACTGGAAGTTCGAATTTCATTTTCCCATGTCGTAGGAAAATGGTTGGCACTAAGGTACACACATTAAAAGAGGAACACAAACGAAGCTGGAAGGCGTTTTTAGTGTATTTCTTTTCCACAGTGAAAAATTTGAAGCTACGTGAAAATTTGGCATAACAGTAGCAATGCTGATAATGTTTATACTCTAACTACATTTTGCATCAAATGTATACAAATTTGGACACGAACCACATTCTGTTATCTTTTTGCTGAAGAAAATACAACTGCAAAACTGAATGTTAGCGTTTTCCGTTTGGATTTATTTAATGCCATCAAAGTTGATGGCATTAGTACATCGACCAAAGCATCCCACGTGAAAGCCTTTAGGCTTCTTGCTCTTAATCAAACAGACACTAAGGCATAAATGGAGATTGAAATACATAAAAAAGAAAATTTACATCTATTAAGATGAGACATGCAAACCATCATCATTATTACATTTTTTCTGTCTCAACTTAACAGTTATTGTTAATGAACTATGGAATGAAGGTTCCCTCCTTAACTGGCTTCTCCAGAGTGGCTTTTACTAGAAAAAAACTCTTTTCCATAAATGTACAGCACCTAAATCAATAGTAAGATAATTTTCTACTCAAACAAAACAGCAGAACATTATAATGTTGTCAGAATAATGAAACAAATTCCAATGTAATTCATACACACCTCCAAAAATGGAAGTTAATTCCAACTGAGACAGCCAGTATTGCTCCCAACATTACCACAATCACTATCCAAACAGTAACTGCAAGAATCGAACAATTTACAATGTAAACATCTAGTGTATTATAACACTGAGGTGATCCACAAGCTGTAGGTCAGTAAACTCTTTCAAGTTAACAGACATTACTTGCTTGTTAGACATGCATCCCAGTACTGGTAAATACTTCTTTTAAGGCAAAACAATGATGAACAGCTAAGCACTGATGTTAAAAAGTAGGGCAGACACCTCACTGTGGTGCATGCACAGGGACACCTCCCTGAGGTAGACATGCATGGCTGTCTTTCAGCAGACACTTTTCTAGAGCTACAGCTAGAACCACTTCCGAGGGTGTCAGCTTTAGAGAAGGCTCACTGTCATAATCTGCTTCCATCAGGGCTGTGATCTAGAATCCAGGCACACATGCCACATGCACAGGTAACTAACTTTTGCCTTTGGGCAACTGGAAAAACAAAGTTTTTCCATAAATTAAAGATCAAGTGCTGGGTACCCGCAACTTCATGGTTAGGAACATTTGGGCTCCCTGTAATTTTTCTTAGACCTCAGCCTTGTCCATCCTAGGTTAAGGTAATTCCCCTGAAACAAAACTGCCAATAGACTTGTTCAAACTTTGTCCACTGAATATTTATCATAATTTATGAGAACTTTTATAAAATAAAAAAGGGGGGTGCCCATGCTCGTTAAGGAGCAGTGAGGCACTAAAAATGTCACATTTTAGCATTATTTAATGCTTATTACAAGAACGCATTCCAAGTTATTGTAAACTCTTTGTAAGCCCTGACTCATGAAAACACGCCTCAAACTGCAGTCAGTGCTTGTGTCGGACACAAATAAACTTTTTAAGTTTGATTTTGACAGACAGCTAAATCCTTGTTAAAATATTGGAACCAAATTACTTACCATGGCCATCAAACTACAAAATAGAAAAGGCTACAGTGCAGCTGCTGTTATCCTTATTTATTCAATTTTCAACAATAGAAATCAGATCAGTCTTTTCTCATGCAAAGCTAATGATTAGTTGATTAAAATCACCGGAAAAAAATTTCGGGTGCCTGAGCTCGTTAGTGAGCTATAGCCATTTTCCAACTGACAGAACTCAATATCAAGGCAAATCCGCTATGTTTTCAATGTGCGCGTGCACGAGCACGCACTCATGATGTCATAAATTATGCGTGGTAAGGATGCGCAATGCAAATGTGAAGAATCACCTTAATTGTTTCACCTTGAGACAACACAGGCCTCTCAACTAGCTTGAGTGCTTCCCCAAAAGATACATGTACTGGGCTTTGGGCAGAAGTGACCAATAAACAAAAGAAGTGAAACTGTTAACCTGATGTTTTATTCGGGCCGAAGAGTGAGCAGGCATGGAAGTGTGAGAGAATACACTTCAAATTATATTAGACCCACCCTCCCTCTTCCCTAATGGACATCCTCTTAATTTGTGGTTTCTTGTTTGATCTCACATTTAACAATAACACAAAATCAGGTCAAGTTACAGTGAAACCTGTATTAAGCAGATACAAACAGAACCCTTGTTTCTACTTAACAAAAGGTATCTGTTTAATATGGGGTCCTCTTAATACAGTTTTACACTGTATTTAAAATGATCATCAATGTTTTAGCTGTAATACCTACCACTTGTTACAGCAGCTTCTTTTTCCTTTTCTAAATAACCTACTACTTCAGGTTCCCTTGGGGTCTGTGTGCTGGTCAGTTTTGCAAGTGATGGCCGTTGTGAAGATGATAGCTGTGTAGTCTCCATTCTCGTTGTACTTGGCTTTGATGTAATCTTTATTATCATGACATCTACACCTAGCATGGCTGGCGGTGTTGTGGGTTTGACACTGGAACAATGCACATCTAGCAAAGAGCATAAAAACATCTCTATAATTATTATTTCCAGAAACATTCTCTGTGCAAATTACATTTAACTTACAATGAACTTGAACTCTCCTTCAAGCTTATTTGAAATTTGCAAAACTAGCACAGTGAAACTAGTCACCACTGTCAAGTTAGCCACAAATTCTCAACATTATAATCTATTATAATAACTGCTCTTAATAATTTTATTGTATGGCAAGGTAGTCTTGAGGTAAAACCAAGCATTCTGATTGGTTCTTGTATGGTCAGGATTTCACCACATTGACAGTTTCTTAAAGCTGGCAAATTCAAAATTTGTGTGCCATAATAAACTATACTTACTAACCTAGTGCTCTTCCCAGTAGACCGCGACACCCACAGTTTTTTTTGCCGCCTTCAGAGTAACGTTTTTGATGAGTGGTACATTGAAATGCACCACGTGATGACATTTTTTCAGTGTGGCATCACGACTTTTGGGTATTACATGATGTTCATTCACAACTTGTTTATCTTCAAGAGGAAAGCTTATCGTGTCGAATACATCTACAAAAAAGCACTCCGATTTTGTCCTGATCATATTTTATCTTCTGCTGATAAACAGCAGCCATGCTGAAAGTTCTATGGAAGACAAAAAACGCAATAAGCACTCCTTTTGAATGAAAATCACTTAATACGAAAAAGTCATGATGCCACACAGAAAAGATGTCCTCACGTGATTGGTTTGAAACAAATTCGCGACATCAAAATGTTACTCTGAAGGTGGCAAAAAACCTTGTGGGTGTCGCAGTCTACTGGGAAGAGCAGTAGCTTGCTTGAGGTGTACTAGGGAATATAGGCCCTCAGTCGTTTTTCTACAGACCTTGCTGTGTTCAGTCTGTTCTGCCATAGCCTTGGTTCAGTATTTCCCAATTGGGCCCTTGGGGCCAGTTTGTAAGAGGTTTAACTGGTTTTGTTTCCATATAGCCCATGCACTTATTTATTAACAAGCTTCAAAGAAGAAACTTACCCTGGGTTCCATTACAAATGTATATTTGCATTTTCATGTTATCTGTCTGACAGTGTCCATCTTTTGTATTAACAAGTGAGTTTAAGGACCCAGTTGATGTGGCTGAAAATGCAAACCAAATTAAGAATTAAGAACTTCCAGCAGTCCAGACATCTTCTGAGAAAATATGTGACAAGAAAAAGGGGTTCTCAAATCTGAAATGCAGAACTCCTCTTGGTGACAGAAGCCCTCCTGTTTTTTTTCCTTTTTTTTTTCTTTTNGGGGGGGGGGGATTGTAGGCATGTCCACTATCTAAATCAAAAAGCTTTTCACAAGCACTCAATTTATGACGAATCTTATGGTACTATCGGAATCTCACCACAAATCATATCGTTTGAGTCATTTTATCCAGTTCCATGACACTCTGCTACTAGTAAATGCTGTGTATGTTAAGCAGGGCTGTCATTAGGGGCATAACCTACCACACCAGTTTAGACTGACTTTTTATCCCAAACAGGACTTCATGAACCTCAAGTGAAAATGAGTCCACCAAAAGACCCACTGTAACATCACAGTTATCGACATTAAAAGTATCTTAATTTTAAGAGTACAAATAAAAGATACTTACATATAAAATAGTAAGTCTTTCCTTTTTTAAATGCTACAGCCATACCATGTGACTGGAATACAAGCTGCTCAAAATTTAACTGTAATGGCTTGTTGCACTCAAAGAGAATCTTGTTGTCTGCTATGCTTGTGTTGACATTACAAGAGTGGTAACTTGAATTATCAACTATCCAAAAATTTTCATAACGTGAATTACTGTTTGAGTCATCTGTTTTCAACAGAGATGTCGCCATGTGTGGGCAGATGATGTTAATTTTTGACAGTGGTAGAACATTTAAACGAAAAGTTCCTTCTTTAAATCTAAAAAAAAGAAAACAAAGAAAGAAAGAACATGTAAATTAAAGCATGCATATGGCTTGCAAACTATAATTACTTAAATCTAATTAGTCTGAAACTTTTACCCGTCATCGTAAAATCTAAAAATTCTATATTCTATAATAAAACACAAACAAAATTCTTGCCTCTTGATGGGACTTCTGTAAAGGTTAAAATTTTCTTTTAAAAGTCTCACTAATGCAGGGGTTTTATTAATGTTTTCTGCAGGAGGGCAACTGGTTTTCACAGGCAGGCAAAACTTTATAAACTGAACTGCCTTCTAAGAAAAATTTTCTCGTGATGTTCAAATCAGGCGGGCTAAACTGTCCAAACAGCTGGTCAATTTGCCTGGTGTCAGGCCCTTAATAGAACCCCTGCTAATGTTCAATTACTAGGTGTCTGCTCAATCTACAACCTTGGTCACAAGGGTTGGGAAAAAAACATTCTGTACACATTTTTCCCCTCCCCACCCCTGAGCAATGTTGACAAAACACTTTCATCTAACACAAGTTTGAATTTTACCATTTTCCAACATTAAATGGGGGAATGGGGTTGCTGACACTCATTCTGTAGGTATTACGATTATAATTTCATGTTTTTGGCATTTTCCAACACAATTTGTCCATGATTGTAGGTTCAGTTTACAGTTACAGCTGAGCTCAGCATCCACTTGATGCAGGCTGTCCCCTTAATGTGAGGTCTACTCAACACAGCTGACTCTACTAATCTACTTTTGTCTTAAATCAGGCTAATATATAGACAAAATGAGAGATTAGTGCGTCTGATATCATTATTAGAGACAACAGGCCAGTTAATTTGTCTGAATGGATTACATGACTGCAGAACTGTAGGGTCAATGTCACGTAAGTTGTAGCACTTTGATGTTTTTCTTATTCCCCACCTGCTGTTTGACAATGTATAGTGGAAGCTCTTTTATATGGACACCATACTGGGGCAGAGCTGAGTAACCATCTGAGTTGTCTTATGGGGGTCAAGAGTATATGAACTAGGATCAAGTAAAATGTCTGTAACAGGAAGGTGTTCATGATATGGAGGAGTCTGTAAGGACAGGCCCTAATGTATTGAAAATGTGGGCAGAATCTACAATAAATTACCAATACGTCTGACTCATTTATAAGCCAGACAGTCATATTGCTGCATAGATATCCCAGTCAGGAAATAAGAAAACAAGATCGAATTCTAAGAGTTTAGGCAAACATTATAAATGGATTAGAAACCCACCCCAAGGCAGACAATGAGTCTGATCCAACAAAAGGAAGCTTGTGGCTTAAAGCTCTAGCCAAAAGATGATTGTGCTATTTGTGCAGCCTTAAAAAAGCCCTCTGTTTTGGAAATCTTAAAGGATATCAAAATAAGCCACCATGCAATATCCCGATTTATTAACTAATTGAAATATTCTTTCTACTTTCTGATAGAGATAAAGGTCAACTCTGGTGGCACCAAGCAAGGAACTGATAATTAAATTACGATGGAATTCTGATTTTCGAACCTCCAAGCTTCAGGGAAATGAAAATTGGTTTGAAAAATCGAGGAGCATGAGAAATTGGAGGCAATTTGACTGAGGGTAGAGGACTGACTTTTGGTTTTAAAAGTTCTCTGGAGGTTTGAAAAAATTATGGTTTAAGTAACTGGGATTCCACTGTATCATGAAATCCATCGCTGATTTACATAATTTGTCCTCTTCCTGTCCATCTGTAAACATGCAGCAGTATTATTAAACAACAGACTTTCCTAATGATATAACTTCTCACTTCACCACACACGATAAAATAAGATGGCTTAATAAAAGAACAGTTTTATCATGGTTGTTTTGTGGTTTTAACCACACAGTAGCCATTTATTTTAGCATGGCTCCCAGAGATAAGAGCCTTATAAAATCCAAGGGTCAAGGGTTTACTTCTTTGTGGTTTCAACTTATCAGTGATCAAATTATTTACATTCACACTTGATTAGCACACAGCTTACTATCATTGTAAATTGCCTACCCAGAATTGTCAGGCATAGGTATTTTTATCAATAAAATAACTTTCAATTGTTGACTCCACTGTGCAGTTTGAGCAACTACCTAATTATTATGCCCACAAAGCTACAAGCATAGCTCAGCAGACTTACAGATCTTAAGATAATGTAAGGGACTAATCACCCTTGCAGCAATTTGACGAGTCTTAAAATATACTGCCCTGTACACCTATTATCATCTGGGATAATCAGACCACTAAGTTTTGTATCCTTCCTGTTATCAATCCCAGTTTAAAGGTGTGTCTAAAACTTTATTATAAAACATAACATGGCAATATTTGTCTACAGCACTGGTTCAGTCTCAACAGGATCTTCCATCAGGAATAGTAAAAATCATTTCACAAAATACTTCAATAGCCAACAGTTTAAGAGATGCCGCTTTTATTAAAAACCTGCATTGATCATCATTAACAATAGAATGGGTGTACAGAAAACATGCCAATCCAGTATTGTGACAGAATTTTTGTCTCTTCAATATCCGAATGGAATCTGCAAAAGAGACAGTTGTCTACAACAAATTTGTTCCCTGCTGCTACCAAACAAAAGCAAAGAACTACAAATTATTATCACTGTAACGTTAAGTCAGCTATATAAAATTTTTGTAAGTGATACAACCAGGGCAGAAAAATGCTAAAAAATAAAACATATAAGTCACTAATTTACATCTTACAATGCATTCAGGTTTAGTCATTTTTGGTATGCATTCACATAATTTGTAGCAAATTATGTTTACTTTAAGTTAGCAGAGGAACATTTTCATAAAATACTTCGGACAGCTTCAAAACTCACTGACAAATTAAACTTATAAACTACATGACCATGCATACTTGTTATGAAAAAGGTTAGCTGGAAAAAGATCTTGAACAACTCATTAAGAGCCAGCAGACACAGACCATTATTGATCATTCTTAATATTTCTTGTTTTATGTTACACAACATTGGTTTTTTGAAAGGCTTTTAATGCCATTTGCAGGAACCTGTCATTTGCATAAAAGTGGTTTATTACTACGACATACAGATCAGAAGCAATATAGAAGAACTGAACATTACCCTATTTAAATTTATTTCAAGCAGTGGGTTTCAACATTGTAGCCAAGGCTGAAAATAATAATGGTCTCAGTCCTTGGTCTATGACTGCCAACTACTTCTCGTGTTTTAATTTCTAGCCAAGGGTTATTGGCATCGTCTGACTTGGCATGACTCCCAGTTGTGTGTGAGAAGAGAAATTTGGGATTTTTACAATTTCTCTGCTCGTGTACCTTAATTTCACTGTGTGTTATCAGTATAAGTTAGCTAGGCTCTGACCAAGTTCAGATTGGTAGTTAAGAATGAGAAAGTGGAGGTAACAATGACATTGAGCACCGAGGCTAAAGAAAGCATTAGTCTCCGGGGGATATGGAGATCATCAGAGATACACGTAGGAAGGTTAATGCATCACTTCAAACACTAGAAAGACCTGGGTTGTGACGGCAGCTGCCATGTAAAGAAGAAGTATAGTCAGTCAGCATCAAGACCCTTTCCCTCTATTGGCATGAAAAGACATGATGACGCCTCAGTCATAGAAGAAAGCTAAAATTAATCAAATTGAGCATTGTACAAAATAAAACTGCACCCAGACTAGTGAACTTAAAATTTCTTCTAATCAATAATCAATACTACACGCAATGTGCTTTGATAGAACGGATGCTAAATTTTTGCCTCCTAAAATAGCATGTTATTAATGGTTTAGGGGAAGGAAGTACAAGCAGTAGTTAATCATGAGAGCTTTACATTTTGAACCAGGATAGTCCCTAGTGTATGATGGCGCAATGCCAGTATGATATGTCTGCTGCAGACATTCACACGCTCTACTGACCGGCTAGTCTACTGGAATGGGAGTTATATTTTCCTCTGAAAATGACCCTAACTTTACAGCAATATTTTGCATTCCTCACTTACAACAGAAGTTCCATTTATAAGCTTCAAGCTGCCAAGTCTGTAGCGTAAAAAGCCCAGCCTAAATACGTTTATATAGTGGAAATAAGACATTATTATTGCATGGCGGTTTCCTCTCCTCTCGCCTTTCAGCTTTTAACAGTATAAGTTTAATTGTCTATGAATTTACCTGCATCAAAACTTTCATCGTCTTTTACGTTGACAGCTTAAACATTGGTTATATGTGGCTCGAATATCTTCTAAAGTATCCAGTTTATCATTCAATTTACTAACTACAAACTGGCAAACATCTTGGCCAGTGAAAGTGAAATGCCTAATGCACGTCTCCAGACAGACCAGACTGAAACCGTCAGAAACTTGAGCTGCCGCTTCACAGCGTAGTGCTAACTCGATTGTTTTCCCAGAATAAACGACAAAACTTTTTCCGGGCTCCTATATTTTCGAACGCAAGGGATCTTGTAAAATCCTTAAATTGAACTAAAATAAGGAAACTTCCGTACCTTCCCTAGTTCGTGTTTAGAGAGAACAACAAACGCGTAGTTCATTTACATATACACGAACGTCTGTAGTCGTTTGCATAACACATTTTCCACTACAAGCTAATAACAGTAGTTTCGAGTCACTCTTTTCAACAAAACATACAATCATTTTAATAAATGGTGTTATATTTGGCATCCTATTCTATTTGAAGTGGTGTAAAACCGTAAGAGGTTAAAGAAAGCTCGCAATATTCACAAACAACTTCGTTTCGGCATGTGGTTTCACTTCCGCGGGTAGTTGTGACAAACAGTGAATTAAGTTTACGTTTGTACTTACCGAGGGTTTTGGGAACTCCAGTGTACGGATGGATACATAATTGCTCCACTCACAAGTGCACCTAATTCCAAATACACGTAGACCAACACTAGAACAACACAGTTCTCACGTCCCATGTTTCGTGCTGTTTCGTGCCTGAGTTAATTGTCTCGTGTGCCAACCGCTTTGTAGTGATGTGTAAAACAAGTATTTTAAACTCGAAGACAATCGTACTTGTGATTATGAGAATATTACCGAACACGCGAGGAAATGTTTTGCCTTCTTCGCCTCAAAGGTCACACTCTAATCGGCTGAAACTCACGAGTAATCCACCCTCATACGTCGGCTACATTTACGATGTCTTTACGGGGGATGTGGCTTGTTTCTTTCCTCGCCTTTGATTGGTCAATCTTTTGTTCGAGGTGACGACAAGTTCTGTTGGGGCGCCAAAAATTCAGAAAAGATGATTGTCCTT